ACGTTAAGATAGAACTTTTCAAGAGTCATTTTATAATTTTTTTTTCGTGTAATGAAATTCATTTATTACAATGAGTTTTAGTAATACTATTTTACAATTTTAATCGAACAGGATATTTTTTTCTGTATAAATGGGAGTGCCAAGGTGCTATGATTCTTTTCCCATAGCAAATAATAATACTATTTTTCCCTAAATTCTCCCCTACTAAATTGGCTCTATCAAATCAAAAAGAAAAATTGTTTTATTTCTAATTTTTTAATACAAAATATCTTTATGACTTTGGCCTAAAGTAATTTTGTGTGAAGAACTTCCTTTGGATGAGGGTTCAGCATGCTCTTGATGTAGCAATATACTTTAAAATCAGTATTTGTTATTTTTTTTATGAAAAAATGTTATTCCATAATTGACTTTCTAACGATTTTGTGAATAATCTTGGTTTTGTTTTTTGTTCAATAATTATGGGTAAAAGGTAACATATTTTTACATAACGCGAAGTCCCAGCTTTATATTGAAGAGTTGGCTTAGATAATTGTTCAGTGTGAACTTCAACATTATGTTTATCGGTAGTCTACAGTCTTTAAGTGAGAAGATACATTTTCTCTCCATTTCAGCGAGTAAACTGTAAAGGAGTTAGATAACCTTTCTTGGAAAAGCTGCAAGCAACTTATTTTATTTAGTTTCTAAGAAACTGTCAGCTGGACTTACTGAGGTAAACATATCTTGCTGATCAGAAAATGAATTGAAGGTTTTTATTTTCTTTTTTTATACGTGAAAGCCAGAAGTTTTGGAAGTTTTCTCACTGTGTATTTTTTTTATATAATATATATATAGTGTTGCGTCAGAGAGGTCACATGACTAGTATCACGCCACTCCTTCTCGAACCTTCGTGAATTGTCGGGAGATTACTAGATTGGGGGTAGCCTGGTATATATAAGACGCTCACAATGTGACGGAAGAAGGGTAATGACTAATTGAACTGCAGTCAGAGAGTGTGTAATTGAATGGAGTATTGTTGAAGTCGAGCTCGTGAGAGTGAGTTATAGCGTTTGTTACAGAGCGACTGTTGAAATTAAGTGTATCATAAAGTTGTATTTGGAAAGAA